GTTCAGCTCCATGAGTAGGTAAGTAAGTAAGTAAGTAAGTAAGTTTATTGAACGGACGAGGAAAATATAACTTTTCATTTCTTACGACTAGAAAGAGATATACAGAAAAACAGTATCTGCAGATATGCGTAACACTGAATGACAAAAACAGAAGTTGAATATAGGAAGCAGATTCGCGTGCAACTCATTCTTTTTTATGTTAACTTCACTGACGTCGTCTGCATTTGTCAGGACACCATTGCTTGCTTCAAATTTTAAGTTAGAAATATTGTTTTGTGATATCTGAAAACGAATCATATATACTAACATTTTGATCTGATCCTGACATAGACTGACGGTCACTGAAATTTACTTCAGAAACAGGAGCAGCTCTTTCTGAGAATAAAATACTTGCTGCATTGTGCTGGTGATAGTAGGCCTACATTATCACATTTCTTATGTAAATCACAGCGTACCTCAGAATTTTTGCTGTTATTCTATACAGAGAAATGACAAGAATTGCTTAGGGAAGAGCAACTTTGAAAACCACATAGTAAATTTTAAAGTATTATTGAAATATATTGAATCTTATTCTTATGTTGGAGTATTTTTACAGAATTGTGGCGAGTAATGGTATTTCAAAAACACTGTTGCTTTTATTTCGATATTTTATGAACTGGAATCAAAAATACGATTACTGGAGGAAATGTACGAATCTACTAACTACAGACATATGCTTTCCTCGTCCCATGTGTAGACTACACATGAAATATGAATATTATTATATTTATGGAGACCTGTGTCATATATATAAAATTCTTTTATTCACTGTTCTCCGTTTCTTCGTATCTGATTCTGTTATTAGGAAGGCGCATCTGGTGTTCCATAGTACAAAGAAGGAGTTCTGGGAATAACTAATCGACTACTCTCATTCGATACGATATGGACCACATAGAAAAAGACGCTTCCAACAATTCTATCTTGCCATTGGAATGTGTTGATCTAGCCATTACCTTGCAACGGTGTGGGGGTACACAGCTAGATCCATAGACTCTTCTTCGATACGAAACACGTTCCCGCGGCAATGGATACACCCAACAATAGAAGAACTGTTGAAGGAGAGTCTGTGTATCTCTATAGCGTTGCTATGTAACAACCAGGTAAAGACTTTCGCACGACAACGAAGAATTGTTGGAGGTGTCATTTATCTACGCGGTCCATGTTGTATGAAAAGAAAGCAGGCGATTAATTCTTCCCAGAAATTATTGTTTCAAAATTAAGGAAGTACGCTAAAAACGATTCATGAAAACCATTACCCTACTGCTTAGCAGCCGTATAATGCATAATATATCCCTAATACAACATTGATCAACGGGCATATATTGTATAAAAATAAGATTGTCTTAATGCATAAGCAATTTTGTCCCTTCGGTATAGTTTGTTTATGGAAATCCATGCAAAAATGGGCTCTTATGCTCATACATTTATATACATCCCAGAATCCCATTAGGCGGCCCATACACGTACGAGTCTGGCTCGCGAGTCGTGCTCGGCGAGGAGCCGGGCTCGGATTAATTTCACCACACACGTATGAGCGTGGCGACTCACACACGGACCCATTTTAATATTGTCCACCCACCTACACCTTTATCTTCCCAGTGGTCTCTTTCCATCTGGCTTTCCCACCAGTGTTCTATATGCATTCCTCTTTGCCCCATTCGTGCTACATGCCCTGCCAATCTCACCCTTCTTGACTGGATCATTCTAATTATACTTGGAGAAGAGTACAAGTTATGAAGCTCCTCATTATGCAGTTATCCTGTCGCTTCATTTGATGTTACATACCTCAGGTTTTAGAATTCCAGTAAAGATAAATAAGAACAATTCACTGTTTGTATTTTGCAGTTCACTAACTTTCGCATATCCGTTAAGAAGTTAAGGTACCTTAGGAATGTGGACGTTGTTTATGAAATTTACGAAGTACGCACATAGAAGATTAATCTTTACGCATAGTTACAATTATTAGGCTGGTATCACATTCTTTTGTGCAGTGCAACTGCCAGGGGTAAACATGTGTTTGTTTAACTGAGATGCCTTTTTACTAATACATAAAATATTCAAAGAGTATGTGAAAGTTGTCCCTGTGCTTAATAAGTAAACACTACTCCCTGAAAACGTATGGGAGGGTGGATATATAGATCCACATATTCTAGGCTTTGGCACTAGTTTGAGGTGAGTGGTCAGCTTTATGCTCCGGCCACTTTACCCATGGGGAAAAACCATGATACCTATTGGATAGGAGACTGGGTGGTCACCAGACCGATTAGGATGACGTGGAGAGGAGAAAAATCTTGCCCTTACCGGGACTATCTCCAAATCCTCAGCCGTCCAGCCCGTAGCCAGTCGCTATACCGACTCCTTAAAGGTAATAGTGCAAAGCGAAAGGAGCTGCAGTATTTAAAAAGCTGGAATAAGCAATTTCGTTATTTCAGCACAGTCTATGTTAACAAAACCCAATAGAAAAGGGACACTTTTGCTAGTTGTTCATAAACGGCAAATTGTCAAAGGCACGAAACCACATTCGTGTTATCAGCATAATCTGTTTGCAAAAGATGTAAAAAGCTGTAGTTCTCTTTAGTATGTGTTTCAAATTCTCCTTGAAATTCAGCGTTTCTTAGGTTTCCATTCCAGGTCTAAGCCTGTATTTACAGAATTTACTTTCATTTCCGTTGCTTGGGCTAGCCTCTAGACCTTCCCTACTGACCCCATTATGCAGACTTTCTTAGTTCGAGCTGGTAACTTTATTTACAATTTTATGAAAGTCATGGCGACTCCTTTACACTCGCTAATAGTTTTTGTATTCACTGTGTAATCTTCCACACTATATTCACTAGCGTCAATTTTAATTCACAATTCTTCAGTGCGATACAGGACAAGAATAAACATTATATTTACGTCGAACACATCATATTCAGTATCCAAGTAACTGATCCAAATTTATATACGTACCGGTATACTGGATTACCACAAGCAGGTTGGGTGCAGATTCTTGTTAAGTGGGCCTGTTTTTATCACAGCAAAACGCTTCCACGTGTTGCGAAACGGAAGAGCGACCTCAATGTATGGAGGATAGCAGCGAACATGTCGTAAAGCTATAGCGGGTAAATGACAATGGGTGGTCCTCCAGTTTGCAGGTTGGGCGCCGAACTAACAACATCTCGGCGCCAAGAACTAGCATGTTACGAAGGGCCTGAGGCCCTTGATTTGGACAGATTCTTTGGTAAGAAGTAAGCAATAGAAAATTGAATCGAGATTTGATCTCAGAGAGGTGCCAGGGTATGGAATGGATTGATCTGGTTCTGGATAGGAGGCGGTGGGTTTCTGCGGAGAGACAGTGAAGTTTCCAACTCCATAACAGTTTGGGAATTTGTTGACAGGGGACCTGCTATAACTTGTCCAGAAGTATTGTGTTCCGTGCCGCTAGTTAGTTAAATTGTTGGCTAAATATGCGAATTCAGTACCTTTTTTCACAAATTTTAACGAAATTTGTACAATTTTACCGAAAGTTTTTAAAATGTTATCAACTATGCCTTACAGTTTACCACGAGTATACAGAGACAGCCGATCACAATGGCCGCGCCTTCTAAGGCATGAACTGTCTTCGCTAGCTTGAACGCTGGGATCGTGGTTTCGAATTCCACTCAAACTTATGGATGTACGTGTGTGCGTTTATTCTGTGTTTGTGTTGTCCTATGTATTGTGTGTAGCGGCCTTGCGGCTGGCTGATCCTCCGTCCAAGGAATCCTACCGACTGCATATAGATTAAGAGACTGAAATGAAAAAAGCGTTTCACAGATGCCATTTGTTCCAAGTTTGGAGAGTAACAAGAAAGAGAGAGAACTGCAAAGACAGACACTGTTCAAGAATAATAAACAATACATTTTCTGTCATGAAAAAAAAAAACACAAATATTTTCGTTAGAAATTTATATTAGCCGCGTAGACTCCCAGCATATTCTTCTGTCCTGAATATATTTATCGAAAGAGACGTTTTCTCTCTCTCGCTTTAAAAATCCGCAGTTTCATTGAAATGAGCAAAATGTTTGATAAAAAGTCTACAATCAGACAACTACTTTTAGTCACTCTGGTGAATAAACTCTTTCATTGAAATTCTTCAGTTTAATTGTGCATAACCAAAGTATTTTTTTATTGCTAGTGGGGTGGGACTAAGTCCCTTGTACTGCGGCCAATTCTGGCCTATTTTACCAGCCCAGATTATAGGTGAGGGTGATTGTGGAGCAATTGGTGGAATGAAGATTGGCAGGGGAAACCGAAGTACTCGGAGAAAACCTGCCCCAGCGCCACTTTGTCCAACACAAATCCCACTTGACCAGACCCAGGATCGAACCCGGGCCGCCGCGGTGGGAAGCCAGCGACTAACAGCTTGAGCTATGGCGCGGCCATAGACAAAGTAATTAAATATTTTATGAATAGTTACTGGTATTGAAATGCGCAAAATATTGCATTCAAAGTCAGCGGCTAAGCACTGAGGAGCTGAAATATGCACACGATTTCGTCCGAAGGTTACAAATACATATCATGACGTGCTGAAGAAATTTGAAATGCCTCAGATTCTTATGGGCAGTCTGCATTTGTTGTCTGAAGGGTCTAAAGAACAAAATATTTAATTTAGATTATACTGTTATATTATGAGGAGCTGAAGTAATTAAAATAAATTGTTTATATCTAAAGTAATATGTATTTTCCGTTACCGTATTATTTTTAAGTTGAAGATTATGTCTTGAAATTTCACGTTTCCCTTAAATGAGTTACAATAAATTTCTGTATTCACTTGACATAAATATTGTATAAGAAAACTAAGAAAATAACTGATTTTTAATTTTTTCAATTAATACATCACTGAAATTAAAATAATTTCCCTTTTTGGCAAACTTCAATGAACACCTTTGAATCTTTGATTGTTAGCAAGTTACCAAGACAGATTGCTGTGAAAGTGATTACCTGGTAATCTGACGACCGGGAAGACAGCGCGTAGGATCTTCTGTGAGTGATCACGAGCCCAAAAAGACGCTGAACCCGCGGATGATCACCTTGCACTGGGTCAAAGTTATAGGCGGCTCAGCAGCCACCTGTAGCTTGCTCCGCCCCCAACCCCTCACTCGGACCAATCAGAAACTTCGGTCTGGCATGTGAAGCAGCAGATGCACCCAAATTGAATCTTAGTTATAATCTCCATACACTTGGTTCAACATCTGTTGATGGCAAGACCCATATCACCAAAGGTCAAAGTTCCGCATACCTTTTGGCCTTTAAGAAAACCAGTAGTCCTCACTGTAATATATATCTATCTTGGGCAAATAATAATAGAGTAATCAGGAAGGTGTAGCGGCAACGCCCTAGACTTGTATTAGGCAGTTGTCCCGTTCGAAACTCTGCTGGTACACAGCTTATCCCGACTGAAGTGCTTTGTAGATTTCTTCAATCCCTGGCAAATTCCGGGATAATATCTCAAATTAGGTCACTACTACTTCGTTCCAAACGCTTCCCTATTTGTTATCCATCAGACATCCTACCATCCGAAGCTATATATTCGGCATACTGAAAGAGTCGCAAAATGGCGCACAGAAAAATATTCCATTGGCAAGCAACTTGCTCATGGATCAGACCATTTGTAAGCAAGTTGGTTATATATCGACACTGTCAGATTCACGATTGCATAACGTCGATGATAGAATGATGAGTATGGAGCAATTACTGGAATGGAAATATCCTTCTTGAGAAGTTGATAGTTACTTATCATCTTCCCACCTAGGCTCGCGTCTCCACATTGATCTCTTCCCTTCAGATTTCCCAACTAAAATTATGTACGTATTTCTCACCTAACACACACTTGCTAAATGTCCCGTACATATCATTCAGCTTGATCTGTTCACTCCAGTAACATTTCATGAAAACTACAGGTTATGTGGTTCTTTATTTTATAAATTTCGACACTCTGTTTCGCACTTTCTCTCGTCGGTGAATTTTTTTTCTCAGTATCCTTTTCTCAAACACCTTTTACTTTTGTTCTTCTTTAAGATCTGAAACAAATTTTTAGCTCCGTCCAAAGCAATAGGTAAAATTATGGTTTTGCTTGTTTAATTTTTATGGTTTCTTGTAGGAGAAGGATGATAAAGTATTCTGAAATAAACAGTAGAAAGCGTTCCCAAAGGCCGCGCCATAATTCAAGCGGTTATTCGCTGGCTTCCCACCGCGGCGACCTGGGTTCGATCCCGGATCTGGTCAAGCGGGATTTCTGGTGAACAAAGTGGCGCTGGTGCAGGTTTTCTCCGAGTACTTCGGTTTCCCCTGCCAATCCTCATTTCACCAAATTCTCCATCATCGTAATCACCCAGGGCAGGCTACAATAGGCCAATCAATGGCCTCTGTGCCTAGTGGCTGCATTTGGACTTCACCCCCCACTAAGTGAATTAAAAAAAAAGCGTTCCTAAAATTTAATTTCTCTTTATTTGTTTGTTAACGTAAATTTAATTTGTTGCTGTTGCTGTCAAATATTTGAAATCTGCCACATTTTCCAAAGATTTGTTAGCTGTTTTATTCTTTTCTGCATTCTGGCGATGAGGTATGCACTTACAATTATTTGCTTTATCTGTGTTTGTTTTTGGACAAATGAACGTCGATTCTCCACCACCCGTCTACCTAGCAGCTACCTCCCTTTACAATTATTCCCTCAATCTAGCCCCTTGTCACTTATATTCCTTCTTTCATTCCACAAGTTGTCTTTCTTTTTATTCTTGGTTTGTTATTGGCATTGACAGAGGGGAGGTGTGCAACGAATGTAGGGTAGGGGAGAAAGTGTCGACTTAAACCTACATCTACCGTCTTCATTCTTTCACTGATTCGAGTGTAGTGTGTAATCAATTTGACGTGTATCTCTCTGAGTACATCTTCAGTGGAAGTATTGAATTCCAACTTTTACTCAGAGTTACGAACTTCAAGTTTCCTTTCATTTCATAAGTTTCTTAACCACACTTTCTCAGCTGTATACGTGATATTGCGTTGAATGTATGGATGCTGTAAATGGTGAAAATGCTGAAAAGAATGTAGAAGAAAGTGGTCTTGGACCTCCTGAAGAAACTATCCCAATATTTGGAGGAAGTGAAAGAAACCACGGAAATGTTAACCAGAATATCTGGCTTTCGGACCAAGAAAGTAACCAGTGAATTCTCAAATACGAAGTAGGATTCGGTCGGTATGTTCGGTTCACAAATTTTATTCGTTTATTTCTTTGTTTCTGAATTATTCTTCTACCCTGTCAGTATCTCAGATTATATAGCGTGAAATTTAAGGGTGATTGGTGAATGATGAACCGAAATTATTTGGGAGGATGTGGTCATGGCCTAATGGAAGTACTATAGCGAAGTTATGCCGCTAAGGACAGGAAACCTTGCGATAACCATCAGAAACAACAGCCGGTGTCTCGCATAATGCAATCTGTCTTGTTTGACAACCTTTTAATACATAAAGTGATTACTACTGAGACGTGGCGGTAAATAATATTGTAACGAATTTGCTCAAAGCATTTCTAGGCAACGGCTCGATATACACCCCGCGATACGCGCACGCAGCAATAGGACGAATGTTATAGTTCCTTGCTAGGCAGCAGTCAGCGCGCCAATGGGCTGGCAGGGTATCAGTCACGTGACTTGTGTTTTCTGTGTGGTTCATGCTGAGCCTATACAATGAAGATCTGTTGTAGCTGAGATTAATGCAGTGCAGTTGAGAGTAAAGAATGAGAACGGAGCGTGTCTTTAGTGAATTGTGAAGATTTGTTGAGCACAGATTAGAACAGAGGAGTAAAGAGTGATTGAAGACGAAATAACAAGAAGACTTCATAGTGATTTGAAGTGATAATTTCTCTGTTGAGAACCGTTGCCAGGAGATGACAAGTGAAGACGGATAATCCTAGTGCGTGTGCAACAGTGAACTGAAAGTGTGTAGAACAGAGATAGCGTTATCATTTAATGTAACTTGTAACTGAAATGCCAATAAATCCCATCATCGGATCTAGAACCGGTTAATTTCGTCACGCGTACCCCCTACACGTGACAATATAATAGATGTGTAATGTCACATCCTTTCGTTCTTGAACATGGATTTAATGATAAGTTAGAATAATGCCATGTCTCTTTCGTGCAGAGTGGGTATTTCCATGCGTCAATTAGCATGCTAGATTACAAAGAAGTGTTATAAAATATTGAAAGAATTTTATTATTTCACTATGGCCTCTAAAAATGAGCGAATAACGGGAACTTTTGGTATGAAAAATATATACTTATTACATTGTGGCTCTAAACGCGCAAGTTTATAATTTTAATACGATTTAATTTAACAGAACCTAGGGCGAAATGGACGTTTGCGTTAGTCATTTTATAAAACCTAGCAATGTTCCACACAGTCAGTAGACATTCCAGTTGTGAAATTACGTGGTGATTTCCTTAACCAAATTATAACCGGAAATTTATGGGTGTCCGAGATAATGAAGTGCAGCAGGACTTCGTTTCGAGTGATATAGGAATGCTTCGAGTGTCGGCTGAAAGTCAATCAGCAACGTCGGGTCACTATTAACCGTAATTTCCGCTTTCATTTTGTCCCCTTGCGATTTAAATCAATTATTCATTCAGCAAACAACCAAACATTTTTCAGTGTCAAAGTGAATGCTATTCATAATTTAGGTGCAGGCTTTTCGTGCATGAGGGAATCAAATCAACAGACAACGAGGTTAAGGTTTGTTGCTTATAGAATATCGTGTAATAAGTTACTAATTGCACCTAGCGCTTTCCCATCTTGTTTGAAGATCTTAAATTTGAGAATAGAGTGCCGAGGAGAATATACGAACCTAAGAAAGAGCGAGCGAGAGAGAAAGGGAATAAACCTAGTAGGGGGGTGGAGGTAATTACATAATTACGAGCTTCATAATTTGTATCTTTCAGAAAATATTATTGGAGTGTTCAAATCAAAGATGCTGAGGTGAGCGAAACACGTAACATTCGCATATAGAGATGGGAAATACATTCAGATCTTCATTGGAAACTCTGAAAGGAAGAAATCGTTTTGGATATCTTATGTAAATGGAAGCGACTTTCGGTTAGACTCGATGAAAGACAAGTAATTTCTTGACCAGTTGGCCTACTTCCATCTTCTTAAAGAGGGCTCTATTCTATGACTTCGTTGCATGACTTTGCCTCCCGCATAGTGCAATTATGAACTGTAGTTCTCGAGGAACAACCGTTCAGTTCGTATCAGAACTCATCCTAACCAGTTTCTTATTTTGGCCTTTTTTCCTCCCTTAAAATGAAAAAACAAAATCAGGTTTGTAAAATCGCCATGCCGTGTGTGTCTTTGTACGTGCGTACCCCACCATTTCAACCATTAAACCAGCTGGAAAATTTTCACGAAACTTGGTATGAACTTTATGCCATTGAAGGCCACCCCGAAGCTATACTTTTAAATTTCCTACAATATACAGTAACAGCATGATGGACATTCAAATATTTGAGACTAGAATGGCATTAGTGCCTCTTAGTTCAAGGTGCTGGAATGTTGTATGGCAATTGATGTTGGAAAATAATGCAGATTTTATTCAGGTAAATTTTTTCGGAGTGTAAAATAACATGGCGGTGCGCGGAAATGTTCATTAGTTTTCGGCAAGATGTCGGTAATAAACAAATCTTTGGGTTCAGACATGTAAAATTTGATATGAAGTTAGATCATAAACATACGTACATATAGAGTATAGACTAGTGTTTTTGAGTCAGGGATTACAGAAACGGCGACGATACACATTTTTGAAGTTTAATATATACAGTATCTATACATAAGTAATTGGTGTTTCACAAAAGTAAAATGAAATGAAATAACAATAGTAATCGAGCAATAAATATGTTGACTAGAAATCAACACAAAAGGAATATAAGCTTGAGGAATTTTTCGGTAAATCTTGCTTATGCAAGTTGTACACATGAAGAAAGAAAAACCTTCATTCATCATCATATTATCATCTTATTCGACTGAGAACTTGAAATAATTTAAAAG